ACCATCCAAGAAACAATAAAAAGGATGACCAGTCACACACACAAGAATTTGATCAATAAAAAGGAGAGAAAAATGGTCTTTCCGGGTGGCAGCATTCAATTTCCTGTAATCAATACACATCCGCCACCCAGTCACAAGTTTTGTAGGGACTAACTCTCCCAAGTCATTCTTCACCATAGTAACACCTGATTTTTTAGAAACAACCTGTGTAGGACTTACCCATTTACTATCAGCAATAGGATATATAATTCTTGCATCGAATAGTTTCAATATTTCATTTTTCACCACTTCTTTCATAGTGATATTAAGCCTACGTTGGGGTCTCTACGAGGGCTAATTCCATCCTCAAAATTAATTTTTTGAGAACAGACTAGGGTACTAACACCTTTTATATCAACAATGCTCCAACCTAAGGCTGATTTATGCTTACTTAGGGTTCGAATTAATTTCTCACCTTGAGACTCAGACAATTCAGATGAGATAATAACAGGAAAAGTATCACCTGAACCAAGAAAAACATGCTTTAAACCCTTAGGCAGAGACTTCAATTCAACTTTGGGTACTTCCACACTTGAAGGAATTTGTTTTTCACCTTTCTCAGGCAACTCCTNGTTGAGGTAAGCTTGTCAATTAGCATTTTAAAGGCCTCTTGACAAGTTTATGTCCACTCAAATGGGGCATCTTTAGTTAGGATGTCACATATTGGTCTAGATATGGTGGAAAAATTATGTATGAACCTCCTATAAAAGCCCGCATGACCAAGAAAGGATCTCACNCTTATCAAAAATAGCACATATATCAACTACATCAGGTGAATCACTGATAGAATCAAACTCAAAATGAACAAGAAAATACTCAAGTGGATCAAAATCATTAGCTATAGAAACTCCCCTATCCATGAGTGAATCAATCATGTATGTTTGGTGGCTCTCGTCATCATTTGTTGGCTGTTTTGCAATATNTTAATCTTAGATTGATCTACCTCTATCCCCCTAGAAGAAATAATATGCCCTAAGACAATACCTGAAGGTACCATNTTTGTTGGCTGTTTTGCAATATGAAAAATATTCACCTCGAGAGTCATATTTCCAAAAGAAAGCTTCATAAGCCCATTCCTGCAACTAATAAGAGCATTAGCAATGACAAGAAAAGACCAACCTAAAATCTAAGGAATTTTAAAAGTAGTATCAACAATAGAGTTGGTGTCACGGATTAGAAAGTCAACAAGATAATAAAATTTGTCAATTTGAATTAGAACATCCTCTACCACACCCCAAGGTACTTTGACTGAACGATCAGCCAATTGCAATACCATAGTGGTTGGTTTGATTTCTTCCAACCCTAATTGCAAATAAATCGAATATGACATTAGATTCACTCTAGCTCCTAAATCTAACAAAGCTTGTCCAAACTCATGGTTTCCAATGCTGCACGCAATGGTTGGACAACTTGGATCCTTGTACTTGGGAGGAATCCGCTGCTCAATTAGAGCACTAACTTGCTCTGTCAAGAATGTTGTCTTCTTCACATGGTGCTTCCTCTTAACTGTACACAAATCCTTGAGAACTTTTGCATAAGTAGGAACTTGTTTAATCACATGCAAAAGAGGAAGATTGATTTTTACCTGCCTTAAATTCTCTAGGATTTCATTGTTAGGATCCAGAGTTCGCTTGCTTGATTTTAAAGATTGAGGGAATGGTACCTTAACAAGACTTTTTGTTACCTTAGGTTCCTTGGGCAGCTCGGCATCACTACTATCTTGATCCTTGTCTACATCTTCTGATTTGTTCGTTGTTGGGATGTGTAATGAATCACCACTTTGTGTCACAATGGCATTCACATCCTTCAAATTCTCTTGCACCATGTGTTGACCATGGGTTGCAGACTGAGCTTGAGAAGGGAACTTACCTCGCTCATTCACACTCAAAGAGCTCATCAATTTGGACACTTGACTCTTTATCTCTTTGTTTTCTTCAACAACCTGCATAATCAAAGATTCACATTTTTGGTTAGTTTTACCCTGTGTCTCAATGAAAGCATGCAAAGAGTCTTCTAAAGGACTCCTAGAAGATGAAGGTGCATGATAAGGTACATGATATGATCTAGGGGGTTGTGCAGGTGGTTGATTTTCAGACTTCCAACTAAAATTAGGGTGATTGTGTCACTCCGGATTATAAATATCAGAGTATGGTGTAAAAGGCTTCTTATACATACCTAAGGCATTACATTGTTCCTCATACATCCCTCTCATCTCAGCAAGTGTGAGACATTCTTAGGCGAGATGATCTACCCCGCCACACACAAAACATGGTCTACAAAATTCTGCATGATTAGCCATGTGTGTTGGCTTTAAGTCCTTAGTCTTTAACATATCTAGTTCCCTAGTGAGCATTTCAACCTTAGCCTTTAGGCTATCCTCTTCCCTGAGATGATAAATTCCACCATCATTTGGGTTTCCTGCAGTTCGTGACCTATCTGTGCTTTCAGTAGCACTAGGTCCAGTCCAAGTGTGAGTTTTTTCAGCAAGCTCATTGAGGTATTCTATGGCCTCATCAGGATCTTTTTGTAAAAACTCACCATTACACATTATCTCCACAAATTGGCGCTCTCTAGGTGTAAGTCCCTCATGAAAATAGCTCACTAAGCACCAATTCTCATACCCATGGTGAGGACACACACTCAACAACTCCTTAAATCTCTCCCAAGACTGATACAAGGTCTCACTATCCTTTTGTGCAATGGTGGAGATTTGCCTTTTTAAAACGTTGGTCTTATGTTGGGAAAAATATTTTTTAAAGAAGACTTGAGTCATCTCACTCTATGACCCAATATATCATGGTCTCAGCGAGTATAGCCAACTCTTAGCTCTATCCTTTAAAAAGAAAGGAAAGAACTTAAGTCTCATAACATCATCAAGTGCAATTTGATTATGAAAAGTCGCAACTACTTCCTCAAACTCCCTAATGTGCACGTATGAATTTTCATTTTTCAAGCCATGAAAATTAGGGAGTAATTGTATCATCCCTGTTTTAAAATCCAATTGGTGAGTATTAGCTGGAAACATGATGCATGATGGTGTGGTTGTGCGTGTAGGGTGGAGGTAATCATGAAGAGTTCTAATGGGTTGATCTTCGTGTTCGCCCATTTTTTCGGGACCCTATGAATTTTCAAATAAAGGATTTAAAAATTTTAATTTCAACTCTACCACAGACCTACTAGCAAATCTACCCAATGTGTCTCTATATCTGTGCATGCAAGGCAATGGAATACTAAAAGAATAAAAATACTATAAAAATAAAGAAGAATAATAATAATGCAGCAAGGTAAAAAAAAGAATGGAATTACCGTTTTTGCAGACTGTTGAAAGAAAAACTATCTACCAATTCTTCTACTGTCTCCCCAACAACGGCGCCAAAATTTGATTACACCCAAAGAATAACGCGGTAATTGTAACATAACTTTGGGGTATTGATTCCACATAGAGACAAATTAAAAGAATAATAAAATGAACAAAGAAACTAAAAAAAAAATTTAATGATTACTGGATAATAAAGTTTAATTTAAATGCAAATTAAAGTGAAGCAAAGTGACTAACGGGAAAAATATTTAAATTTGACAAACAGTAAAGTGTCGGAAATCCCTTGCACAAATATGGTATTTTAATTATTTTTAATTCATTGAATAACTCAATTGAGAATTTAATTCCCAAAATTTTCAACCGGAAGATATAGATTTATAAACCAAGATTAAACTCAATGTAATCTTTTAAAAAATCATTCATCACTTTTAAAATACATAAATTATTATCACTATTGAGAAAATCTAACGATGACAATATACTCAAGAAACAATATTGCAGCAAAAAATTAAATCAATATAGATAAATAATTGATTCAAACATAGTTAAAGAGCTAATCCATTTAATAAAAAAAGTATGACGGGATCCATAAACAAAATAAATTCTATAATTATTCGGAGAAGAAAACATCAAAATTGAATACATAAATTAAAAATAAATAAAATATCATCTACTACACAAGTTCATCCTTCCTCTTACTTCAAAATTTAATTACCTATAAATATAAGGGACAACAAAAAAAACTCCCAAAAGAAATAAAACAAATCAGCAGCCATCGGAATTATTTCTGCTCCCTGATCTGCTCCCCCAAATAGCCGCCTGCCTTCTGTTTTTTTTTCTTCCAGCCGCCAACACCAAATAAGAAGAAAAGGCCCAGCCGCCACTCTTCAAAGCAAAATTATATACGTTAAAACTTAAAAGTTAATGACCTTTTAGAAAAATATATTTTTCTCCCCTCTTTTTTTTGTCATTTCTACTTCAACTCCTCTTGATTCTAATCTTTTTATTTTAGTCCTTAAAGCTTAAATCTTGTGTAATAAAAGGAAGATAAAGCCCAATAAAATGTGAAAGTTATATTAGTTTCAGCCTTTTTACTCCATAGACTATCATCAAAATAAAAAAAAATAAATATAAAAATCCAATAATAAAGTTCCAAAAATATTAAATGTAAAGTCCAATTATAAATTATCTCTCACAAATCAATAATACAATATTTAAGATTTAAAATATTATAAAATCATGTTCAAATATATCTCAATGTGAATAGATATTAAATTTAATAATATAAATTATATCTAATTATTTATATTCATATTTTAACATTTTAATATAATAATTAGGTATCTAAAATATACTTTGGCGCACTCTTCTATACTTGTCTATGTAAATCAATAAATATACAAATATAATTAATTTTATCCATTTAAAATTTTATTATTGGTTAATATCACCGTTATATTAAATATTTTACCCATTCAAAAAACACATTCTACATTGTTTGACTTTTATTCAAAATCTCAACCGCTGATCAGACGCTCTTCTTCAATGTTATTGTAAACTTGATGCACCTGATTCCCCCTCTTTAGATTTTTATTATATTTGGATTTGCCGACGGCCACCCAACTAGCTCCTCCTCCTCCTCGTCGTTTTTGTCAGAGTGTGGTCTCTCTCTCTCTCTCTGCTTGCAGCGCATCGTCACTTTAAATTATCTTCGTAATTAGGAATCAAATCCTTAGGCTCTAGGTCTTGCTCTGTTGATTTTTTGTTCGAACAGAGAAATGGTGGAGGTTAAAGTGACGATGGAGGTGGGAAACGACGGAGTTGCGATCATCACCATCTCTAACCCGCCCGTCAATGCTTTAGCTATCCCAAGTAAACTCTCTCTCTCTCTCTTTGCGTAGGTATACACAGATAGATAGATACAGACATAGATCTTTCATAGCATAAGTTGGTGTATTTTGTCGCTTGTAGTACTGGCGGGGTTGAAGGAGAAGTATACTGAGGCGATGAGGAGAGACGATGTTAAAGCAATTGTGGTGATTGGTAAGTCTCAATTCCGACGGTTTTTGTTACATTTGATAATCATGGATTTGTTAAGTGCAAATCATTGTTTTAGTTGACTATTTGGGTTTATTTTGATGCAAACATATCAAGATTTAATTTGTTTATGTGAATTTTTTGTACCAAAAGTTCTCCTTAAAATCAATCCTCATGGTTAGCCTAGTGGTGTGGGATGGCCTGGGATGAATTGTAAACTCGGTCATCCTGGCTTCAAAACTCTGCTGGTGTCTCCCGGGGTTAACCTGAGGTGATTGCATGTATCCGGCGTTTGCCTTGCAGGGGTGGGTGGGTCCAAATTCAACTGGATGCTAATTCCTTTTCTATTTTTTCATTCGATTGAAGGCAAAGGTGGAAAGTTTTCTGGTGGTTTCGACATAAATGTTTTCCAAAGTGTTCATAAGACTGGTATGCCTACTCTGGTTCTGCTTTGTGGCGTTGGGTGTTGCAGTGTTTGTAGATTGTGGACCCGATTGTTTAGTATTTAATGTTGTTTTTTAAATTGGCAGGGGATATTAGTGGTCTACCTGATGAATCTGTTGATCTTTTTGTCAATACAATTGAAGGTCTTGAGCTCACCTTAATTACTTGGGTTTTTTGTAGTTTGATCTCAGAATTATAATTTATTTTTTCAATAATTGTTTCTTTTTATGCTGCTCCTTGTAGATTCCTAATTTCCTATTCATTTTAGCAAGCTGCTTTTACTGATGAATTTGTATATTCTTGCCTTCATAACTTTAGATGCAAAGAAGCCTTCTGTTGCTGCCATTGAAGGGCTTGCACTTGGAGGTGGCCTAGAATTGGCAATGGTTTGTAGTTAATTTGCTGAAGTAGCTTTCTTTCAAATTTCATATTTGGGTGAATTGATCATTCCAGATTTTCTTATAATGCAGTGTTGTCATGCACGTATTGCCGCACCAAAAACTCAACTTAGCTTGCCAGAACTGAGCCTTGGAATTATTCCTGGATTCGGAGGTACAACTGCTGTTGTATAATAGCGTGATTTACTTCTATATGTTTGACTTTGCTGAACGTAAGGTTCAAGTAGTGAAGTTTTTGGTTTCTGCCTAAACTGACTGACTGACTGACTGAATTATTGTTGTTTGTAAGGCACACAACGTCTTCCAAGGCTCTTAGGGTTGCCAAAAGCCATTGAAATGATGCTGGTAAGCCATCTTTTGCTATTTTCTTGGACTCATCCCTAGAAATCCTGGAATCATTAGCCGGAGGTACTAAATGATTTTATCTATCCAATTAAGCTTGCGTGCTCTTTTTTCAAGTTGACTTCAAATTATCTTTTCTGGTTCTTCGTCGTAGTCGTTCCCAATTCAAAAATTAAAGACCCTGTGATGGGGATCGTGTAGGAATTGGATAGATATTTTAGATTAAACATGAGAGTAATTTAGTATTTATCTTTTAAATATTTTCTTTTAACTTTTAAGGGTTTAGTTGTCATTTTGATTACTTATTTATTTTAGGGTTTGTGATCTCCTTATATATATAGAATATGTGAACTTCTTATATATATATAGGGGATAAATATTTATTGTGAGGTTAGACTTTGATTTTTTATTATTGATATTGAATCTTCTTTCTAAAATTCTCTCTATTCTCATCTCCTTCTTCTTCTTTTCTCATCTCTTTCTTCTTTCTTTCTCATCCCTAATTTTTCCCTAATATGATTTACATCAATTTGGTATCAGAGCCTAACTTCGATTTGGAAAAAAAAAAACGAAGTTACTGTTCATCGCATTGTTCACGCGTGCACTGTTCACCTGAAAAAACTGTTCATCCGAAAACACTGCTGATCAGTGAAAAAAAAAACTGTCTTGGCAGATTTAGAAAATTAGAGAAAAATTCTAGTTGTTCCAGAAATTACAGAAACACCTCATAAGTTGCAGAAGTTGTAGAACTACCACCAGAAGTTTCAAAAATTGTAGAATCTTTCCCAGAAGTTTCATAAATTGCAGAATCATCCTCAAAAGTTTCAAAATTTTTTCTTGATTATGGTATGTATACTCCTATGAAATTTGAGACTAATATTTTTATTTATTGAAAAATTAGAGAATTTACAAAGGATCTAAAACATATTTTCTTCTATTTAAGTTTTCTCAGTTCTCATAATTATTAATTGCATTCTTGAACTCATTCTTATGTTATTCTCATCTTTTAAAGTCAATCATGAGTTCATATGATCATTATGATGCCTATTCATATACTTATCCAACATCAAGAATGTCTCAAGTTCATAGTTCTCCACAACGTCATCACTATACCTATTCCACTCCTAGAGCTTCTCAAAGTCATCATAAAGTTCATAATAAATTTGAGTTTTATTATGAAGATTATCTAGAATACTACTCTAGGACTCTTTGGTCACATAACAGTTATCAATATCATGCTTCCCAAAGTCGTCATCAAGGTCAATTTGGATCAATTTTCAATGTTATTAGTGACCATTCAAAAGCCCAAATTACCCTAGGAAAAAAGGTTGAGATCTTTGAAATTAAAGTTGCCAACACTAAACATTCACTCTGCCAATTACGTGAAGAATGTAGAGGGGTAAAAAATCAATTATCTGAATTAACAAGTCAACTTTTTCACTTGAATAAAATTCTTACAAGTCAGCAAATGAAAGAAAATAAGGACAAGTCTTCAATTTCACCTAATGTCGGACACCCGCATAATGATAGCCATATTTCTGTTCCATTGGACCCTCGTGCTTTACATCCTTCAAAACATACTTTCAATCGTTTGAGCATTGATACTAGTGATGAGATTATTTTGATCCTATCATGTTTCCTACCTCATCGGTGCCAAAAGTTGAATCACCACTAAGCATTGAATTTGAGGAAAAATTCATTCAGTTAGTTCCTATGCAAGATGTTGAGCATATTGAGCTATCTATTTTACAATCTGTTGACAATTATTCTATCTTTACTATTCCGAATCATGATGGCATTGTTATGGATTCTTATTCATTTGAGATTATTGATTTTGTTTCGGATTCTTCTCCACCTGAGATTGTTGACATTATTCTAGATTCTGCCCCACTTGAGATTGTTAACTTTGATTCTTTGCCTACTGTCAAGTGTTCAATTGAGTCTATACTTTCTTATTTTCAGCACCAAGGTGTTATAATCACTCCTTTGTCATTGATGTCTTGTCCTGTTGAATGTCAGTTGTTCAAATCTAATGGGAATTGTTTTGTTATTCTTGAGTTTGGATCTAATGCTTATTTGTTTAATTTTTCATTGAATGTTAGTATTAGTCCAGATTTTTATTTGGAAGACATGGTGCTTAATCAAGGTACTCCAAAGTCTCCTATTTTATTTGCAGGTGTTCATACAAATGGTGATTCTTGCATTTATCCTGGTCGATGGAAAGAAGTCGACGGTTCTTTCATTATAGATGAGACATTATGTCATCTTCATCCTGCTCTCTTAGGGTACTTCTGCTTTGAAGACTCTTCGGATGAGATTTTTTTTCAACTAGAGGAGAATGATGAGGATCGTGTAGGAATTGGATAGATATTTTAGATTAAACATGAGAGTAATTTAGTATTTATCTTTTAAATATTTTCTTTTAACTTTTAAGGGTTTAGTTGTCATTTTGATTATTTATTTATTTTTGGGTTTGTGAACTCCTTATATATATAAGGGATACATATTTGTTGTGAGATTAAACTTTGATTATTGATATTGAATCTTCTTTCTAAAATTCTCTCTCTATTCTCATCTCCTTCTTCTTCTTTTCTCATCCCTTTTTTCTTCCCTTCTCATCCCTAATTCTTCCCTAATACGATCTACATCACCCTGCTATGGACTATAACCTTTTGCAATGAGCATGACCCTTTTCTTTCAAGTTTTGACATAAAAATATAAGCTAACGTTGATTTATCTACTACACCCATAGTTCTAACTTGGAATTTGCCATCGTAGATTTTTTTCACAGTTATTGCTTGAAATCAGTATTTTTAGCATCAATTTTTGCCTCATATTATGGGTGCTGATGTGAAGTTTGTATTACTTCTACATTCTCATTCCAGTTAATGAGACCTAGCTGCTGGCAATGCAATGCACTTGAATATCCTCTATCAATACTTATGTATCTGTCTAAAGCATTTTTTGTTTCCTTATCCATGTGAGATTCTCATGTGCATGGTTATTTCTGCCTTGATTTTCCTCTCATTTCTCTGACTGTAATTACTACAGTGCTTGTGCGGGACTGTTAGTGATATATGTTCTAAGGAAAGAGACGAGTAGATGTATGAATTGAATCAGTGTGAAGGGTTGCTTAATGGTGGTGTAGATGCACAAGCAATGACCCCTTCTTTTACAATAGTTCAGTGTCTGCATTTTATTGCTCTACAGTATGGAATTTTTTTAAGAATTTCTTTCTTCTTTTGCTTGCATGCAGTAGATTACCTTATAATCAAGCTATTTGGTTGGATGTCTGTACATTTGGCTTCCTGTTACAGATTCTCATTGAGCTACAGGGAACAAGATCTACCTCTTTGTATAGTTTTGTGGAAATTGATAATATCTTAAGAAACAATAGGATACTTCACTTGATTTCTAACTCAAGCTTGTCCATACAACAAGCTCCGCTAAGCGATTAGTGGCTTGTTTCCTAAGTTCGTAACTCAAGTTTCCCTAAGCAGCAACAAACCTTACTTAGCTACTTTACTATCTTCTCAATTTTGATATGGCGCAATTTTATTATTAATGGCCTTAAATTATCCAGTTTATTTGCCGGAATGTTAATTGACTGTTAAAACTACGTTTTGTAGTTATCCAAGCCTATAATTGCTGAAGAAGGAAGGAAGCTAGGCCTTATTGATGCTGTTGTGCCTTCTGAAGAGTTGCTGAAAGTAGCTCGGAAATGGGCATTGGACATTCTCGAGAGGCGCAAACCTTGGATCCGTTCCCTACACAGGACAGACAAGCTTGGTTCACTATCTGAGGCGTGTGATGTACTGAAGATGGCAAGGCAACAGGCCAAACAAACTGCTCCAATTATGCCCCAGCGCCAGGCATGCCTTGATGTAATCGAAGAAGGCATTGTTCATGGAGGCTATAGTGGCGTTTTGAAGGTATTTGATTTTTGGGACTTGATACGTTTGTTATATTTCGGTAAATCATTTTTCTTTCGGAAAGAAATATTTGTGTTGTCAAATTTGCTTCATCAGTGCAGACTTGATTACGAATTGTCTAGAAATTCCAATACCTGTCCTGTGTGAAAGGGAAACTGTCGGTTTCCATTGGGGGCTTGTTATTCTTTCTGTGCTAATACCAACCGCTACGTCTACATTTTTTTTTTTGCAGGAGGCCAAAGTTAGTAAGCAACTGGTCCTATCAGACGTGTCAAAAGGTCTTGTTCATGTTTTCTTCGCCCAACGCACAACATCAAAGGTACAATTATAGATTCCCAGTTTTTGATTACTTGTTTGAATGGTTACCTCTCCTTCCTTATTTTGACAGATACCTGCTGTTACTAACGTTGGACTTAAACCAAGACCTATAAAGAAAGTTGCTGTAATTGGTGGTGGTCTGATGGGTTCTGGCATAGCAACAGCTCTTATCCTGAGCGACATATATGTTGTTCTCAAGGAAATTAACTCTGAATATCTTCTGAAGGGGATAAAATCTATAGAAGGTAGTCAATTGGTCCACAGAAGGGGGACTATATTTGTATGTTCATGATTCAGAATTGTTTTCTTTCCTCACCAGGAAAGGATTAAATTAGCTGTATAACAGAACTAATACATTGCAGGCTTGGTGGGGGTTGGTCATTCGCATTTTTTCTGCTATAACCATTGAATGTTTTTCATTTGGGAATAATGCTTATATACCTTATGTCACAGCGAATGTCCAGGGCTTGGTAACAAGTACAAAGTTGACAAAGGAAAAAGCGAAGAAATCCCTCTCGTTGCTTAAAGGTGTATTAGACTATTCAGAATTTAAAGATATTGACATGGTTGTAGAGGTGTGTTGTATAATTTTATTAGTTTTTTCTGTTGGGGATGTACTCATGTAGCATTCTCTTTAAGTTCTTTTATTGGTGGAAAATGTAGGACTCCTGTAATCTTTTTTGCTCATGGCTCCTTCTCTTCTGGTCACTAGCCTGTATTCTGTTGACATCCACAAAATTCATATTTATTGACGATGCATGTGATCATTTTTATTGCTCCCTGTGGGTGGTTTAAGTTGTTTAATAAAATTACCTCTCAAATGCAGGCTGTCATTGAAAATATTTCACTAAAGCAAAAAATATTTGGTGAACTTGAGAAGGTCTGCCCATCCCATTGTATTTTGGCAACCAACACATCAACTATTGACCTCAACATAGTTGGAAAACAGACCACCTCTCAAGACCGCATTGTGGGGGCACATTTTTTCAGGTAATATTGATTGTAACCCTTCCTTGAAACAAATTGGAAAACTTAAAAAGGTTTGTTATTCTGTAAAAGAATTATTTTATTGAAGAGAGTTACTTGTGAAAAAGACTAAGTGAACTTTTGAAAAAGTTATTTGAAGTTGCAGTACACTTTCAAGAAAAAAAATTTAGTTACTTAAATAATCTGAGTTGAGACTTGGAAGACAAACCTTTCTTTAAAACTAATATATGAAGGTTACTTTAACTTCTCTTTTTCTAATGCATGTATTGTTGTAACTCCCTTGTGAATTAACTATTCAGAAATTAACTAGGAATATTTATATGGCATTTAGTGCTAACATGATCCTATTACAACCAGTCCTGCTCACGTGATGCCTCTACTCGAGATTGTACGGACAGAGAAGACTTCTGCACAAGTAATTCTTGATCTTATAACAGTAGGGAAAACCATAAAGAAAGTTCCTGTAGTGGTGGGAAACTGCACCGGCTTTGCTGTCAATCGAACCTTCTTTCCATACGACCAGGGTGCACAGATTTTGGTCAATTTAGGTGTAGATGTGTTCAGAATTGACAGGCTGATCTGCAGCTTTGGTCTTCCTGTTGGGCCATTTCAGTAATATTCCTCTCTTTTGTGGCTTCTTTTTCCTTTTGAACAAGTCTTCCTATCTTTTTGACATTATACATATAATGACATGTTTTCAAGTGTATGTAGGTGACAAAGCAGGGGTTTAGCTCTTCTGACAAAGTATATTTGAGCTTAGCGGTGATGATATATGATTCTTTTGAATATGCTCGCAGGCTTCAAGATGTGGCTGGATATGGTGTAGCTGTCGCAGCAGGGAAAGAATTTGCTAGTGCCTTTCCTGATCGGACATTCCAGTCTCCTTTAGTTGAGCTTCTCATAAAAAGTGGGCGAAATGGTAATGATTGGTTATGTTTGTGGTATATATCATTGCTGTCTGATCTTGTGTTGTATATCACAGAACACATAATGGTGTTGCAGGTAAAAATAATGGAAGAGGATACTATGTTTACCAGAAGGGAAGTAAGCCACAACCTGATTTTTCTGTGCTACCAATTGTTGAGGAATCGAGAAGGCTCACTAAAATTATGCCTGGAGGAAAGGTACTGCTTTGCAGCAAACAATAAAGATTATTTTGCCATAAGAAAACATGATAGTTGAACTTGTACTATTGTGGGCATACATGTCAAGGTTCAATTTTGTACCCATTGAACATAACCGTAACTAAATTTATGTTTATGTAAAGTATCGACCAAAAAGAAAAACATGTGCATTTATATCCATTCAACGATTACTAATATGTCAGCTTGGGACATCTGGCAGCCTATATCTGTGACTGACCAAGATATTGTGGAGATGATATTCTTTCCAGTGGTGAATGAGGCATGCCGTGTGTTGGATGAAGGAGTAGTAGTTCGGGCATCAGACCTTGATGTTGCATCTGTTCGTGGAATGAGTTTCCCTTCTTACAGGTGAGTGGTGCAAGACAATAACATGTTTTCGGATATTTGTTTTCTCAGCTGCAATCCAAACACACTGTAAAATTCCATTGTTTTCTCTAGATAAGATTCTGTTCTTTTTAGCTTTAGTCCTTATGATCTTTGCTGCTCCTAATAAACCTCTCACAAAAGAAACTACATGCGTGTAACATCACTGCAAGCTTGGTTTACTATATGAATATGCATCCCAAGTCATGTCAATGTAGCATGCAGGCTTTATGTGTAGAGAGGAACCAAAAAATTTCAAATCATGAGATGTCGCCCTAAATTTAATTGCAATTGCATGTTCAACTAGTTCCAGCAGAGACACCTGGTGGATGACTTGCAATACTGGATTATAATGAATATGATTCCAATCAGTGCAAATGAGGGGGTAAGAGAAAACGATTGTTGTCTAAATCAAACTCTTGAAGGGTACGGTACCCGAAATGTCATTATGTGAAATTTTGACGTCAGTTGAGCTTATGACGTGCAATTAGTTCAAATTTTTATTTATTTATTACCGATTACCTAGACAAGTCTTTACGAAACGTAGTTGTTGGACTAATTAATCTTATAATTTTGACTCATCTATACAATTGGAAATTAGATCAAGTCTATGTCCTATGTTACTGTATGTGGGTTTGTGGTGGGGGGAAAGGGGCTGGGCATCTTCTAAATGAAACAGGGCGTGAACTGCCATATCACCCTTTGTGTTGATCTGGCTTTCAACTCTGAAGGATTTTTGTTCCCCTGGGACTAATAATATGGTGGTGCGTATCCGTGAGGTATGAAATAAAATTCGTTGAGCAATTGTATCTTTTGTTGGCAGGGGTGGTATCATTTTCTGGGCCGACTTGGTTGGGGCTAACCATATATATACAAGTCTTAAGAAGTGGTCAGAAGCATATGGCAACTTCTATAAGCCAGCAAGGTTTTTGGAAGAAAGAGCAACAACAGGCGTTCCATTGGTAAGAACCCTCTCTCTCTCTCTCTCTCTCTCAACTCCTAATATCCTTTTTTCATTTATGCAGAGTGCACCTGCTTCAACATCCTCAGCTTCAAGATCACGTCTATAAGCAATATATCAAACCTGTACTCCCCCAACATCCCCACCACACTTACCAACAGAAGAAGATAAAGGAGAAAAATTCTCCCATTCTTCTGGAAGCAAATAATAAGAAATGACCTACAGGTGGAAAAGAACTAGCATTGTTTCAAAAGTTTTCCTTTAGTTCACCTGCATCATTCTTCTTGCATAGGTTGCATACTAATTACTGGTTGGACCATGTTTCGATTTGGTGAACTGTTGAAGAGATATCTATTTTCTGTCTTTTTCTGGTTCAGCAGAGGTCTCTGCCTCTTTTTCTTGCATCAAGGACCACTGGTTGCCAAATCAGTTGTACAAGAAAGTGAAAAGTGAAGTTAACCAAGAGGTAGGTCAAATAGTAACAGCCTCGTAAGGACGAACTGTAAATTCAGATATTTTAAGTTTGAATTTTGGTAATTCTTTAAGTCAATCATTAGTATCTTTCGTGAATATTTTAGTTTCGGTGTAAATGGTTTGTTTTTAACGGAATTGGGGAGAAAATTAGTTGAAAATCAAAAAGAAAAAAAAAAGAAAAAAAAGTGAAGTTATGATAAATGGGACTGCAAACCCAAGTACCATTAATACCAAGACCCAAGGCGTATTTCATATTTGTTCATGTCTCAACAGGACAAGTACCGATATGAAGAATAGCATGAGTAATCCCAAGGGTTATAAAATACTCGAGGAATAGACAAGTTGGTTAAGAGTTCATTTTGCAGAGTTGAAAGTCTTGAGAGGCTCAAGCTTTCCTCCTGTTGCAGGATTGAATTAGATCCGGATTCTCATTCAATGGGTAATTCACTAATCGTGTGTAGGTGAGAAATTTACTTATTATTTGTGAATCTCACTTGAATTCACGGTGAAGGATTGAGTAAATTAAGAGAGTTCAGTGGAGGAAATTTTGCTTCAGATTGAATCCCCCAAGATCACAAAAAGAAAAAAAAATCCCAGATCAGAAGTTATTTAATGACTCTTGAAAATATCCTCAGGAACTTATCCTGATGGCAGTCTAAAGCATCTCAGACAAGTAGTCTCAAAGTGTTCTAAGAGGTGGAAATGTCTACTAACTCATCTCATACAAAAAGATTGCATGTGTCCAAGAAGATTTGTCCACGTGTTGTAAGAAGTACAAATGTCTTCTAAGTAAGACAAAAAGGGAAGGGCATCAGCTTAACGGCTGATCCACGAAACCACTATTTGATTATTCTATAGGTCACCTGTTCCAAAAAAAAAAAAAATTCTATAGGCCAAAAAGAACTCGAATGCAAATTGGATAACAAATGAACATGTAGATCTGACACAGGTAATTATTGAATGGCATAAATAGATAGTTATTTAATTATATGAGATTTACTTAACCATTTATTATCCTATCATTAGATTGTTACACCATGTCAACATGATAATATGATGTAACCGTTACCCCCAATATCGGAGCAATAAAGTCCAAATGGTTACTTTTGTATGGAACTGTCGACAGCCTAAACTATTTTTTGAGAGAGAAGAGTCCAAATTAGAACTTAACATTATGAATACTCCAAAAAAAACTTCTCTTCCAAGAGATTCCAAGTAATAAAATCAATAAAATTGCTGTGTTCCTTGGCAATGTAGATAGATTTCATCTTGAGAATCTACATGACTTGCGTTGCATTTATACACTGTAACTGTAAACCAAAAATTGGTTTACCTAGTATTAATGAATTAGGTAAGAAATGGATCAGACTCTGGTCAGTTCTAACAATGAGACCCAGGTATAACCTTGCAGCTGCATCAAAGAAAAGCATAATGGACAATGGACAATGTCCTCATATTGCAGAGATGCAGTAGCATACCTTCAGCCGAACCTTGTCCTAAATTTTGTTACAATGCTTTCTCAGCCTATTGTTTTAGATCCCCATTTTCAGCAGGGAATGAAAGTTTGGCAAGGGCATTGT